ACATCCTGATGAAGCCATCATTAGTGGAGAATGCTGTACATGGAAAATGCTTTTAATCCACCTAAACTGTGGAACCCAGAACTTTGCAACACTGCACACTACCAGATGTTGGTTGCTTCGTCTCATGACCATGAGGACCCCTGGGAGTTGGGCTCCCTGCACAGCAGGACAGCTTCCGACTGATGCTGGCCTCCCTGGACCTGCCTGGATCCTGAGCACATATACTGTTCACATAGCTGGAATCCTGCTCTGAAATCACTCCTTTGCTCAAAATTTATGCCTCCATTGAACTGCCTTCCAGTGCTACCAGCTGACCTGTGCTACTCTGAGCCCCACGTGGACGCTAACCGTTACCTGAACTGCTTCTGAAACCAGCATACCGTGCCTTGGCCTCTTGGGCACCCCTTCAAAGCACCAGTTTTGATACAGGATGCTTTTCTTGGCATTGGCTTCATTTTTTTTTCATGCTTTGTCCCCTGCCATGTCTGCCTCCCACCTGAACTAGCCTGGCTACTGTTCTTTCTTTTTCTCAGAGGTGAGGAAGGGCCGTAGCAGGCAGTGCCCCTTTAGATCCTTCCCTAACAAGCCTGTGCAATCAGACAGCTCTTCATCCTGCCCAGCAGGAAGCAATCCATGTGGTGCCTGGAGGTAGAGGGAGGTGAGACAGCCCTAAAGCCACATCCCTGTCCTGTACTGATCATGCCATCTCACCCTTGAACAGGCTCACTACTATCATGTCCTCACTGTCATTCAACAAATATTTGAGTACCTACTATAAGTCAATGTCTACTGTTCTGGCCACTGAGAATACAGCGTTAAACCACACACAGGGTCCCCCTGCCCAAACATTCTGAATAAATCCAAGTTAAACATCCTCGATTTGAAAACCAAAATGGCCCAGAATCTGACATTTTAAAATGTAACCATGATGTCACGAGTAAAAGGTTCCCTATGTTGCTTCACTTCATGGTGCAAATGTGAGGGCACTGAGAATATTGCCTAAAATTTAATTAATAAAGTATATATGTGAACCAGGGATTTAACTCAGTGGTTCTGTCACCTGCCTCACAAACGCAAGGTCCCGAGTCCGACCCCCAGTATGAAATGAATAAAGAAAAAGAAAGAAAGAAAGAAAGTATATGTGAAATAGAAATGATTCTATGTTTACTTGGGTTTCTATTCCCCAAGATCTCTCCTTATGCATTGCATATGCAAATATTCAAAAATTTTAGAAAATATAAATCCAAAGAAACTTTCATCTCAAACATTTCTCACAAGGGACACTTGACCTGTTGTAGAGTTAGTTTTAAGATTACATGAAATGAAGACTGCAAAATACTTCCATGGATATCTGTGCCTTTACATTTGTGGGGCTGGTATTTCCCCCATTGTGAGCAATATTACCACCAATTCCTCTTGCATATGAATCCCCCTTTGCTCATGATTTAGACCTCTTGGCTGTCCATCATAGTACTGCAGCCTTTGGCTACCGACTTGGCCAGGGACCCACCTCCTCAGCTTGTCCTGGTTGTGTAACCTTCTGTCCTCAGTACTGGTCCAGGTTAAACTATATGGTCCACATCGTAGCCCTTAGAATGCTTCTTCAGGCACCTGCATTCTGAAAGAGGGCTGATTCCCTTGGTTTCCCAGCATCTCAAGAACCAACGTTAGCCCTGGTCCTCTATGTGAAGAGCATGAGAGTTAGAGCCCAAACCTAGGATTCAGGTGAGAGGACAGGTACAGGGCCAGTGCATCAGGCCTGCTCTTACATCATCCTCGGGGGCAGGCTGCAAGTTCTCCTGCCTTTGCAGTCTTTGGTTGAAGAACAATGGATTTCCTTTTTACGACTAAGGTATCTGGAGTTAATAAGTGTGCCTTACAACTAGAAGACTTCTGATTATAATGCAAGTACTTTCATATAGTAAGCATTCTGACACATTTGTTACTTTCCCCTAGAAAGAGACAGTGTGCTGAGGAAAAAGTGGATGGAGAAATATCAAAGACTTGGAATGACAGAGCTTTGGAGGACTTCTAAGTAGTGGAATTTTTGTAGCCCAAATTCTTTATTGTGGCTACACTTTGTTTCAATTACACTAAAACACAGGTACCCCATAAATCGTTCATTTGTAGGAATCTATAGTTAATGGTTCTATCTATCTATCTATCTATCTATCTATCTATCTATCTATCCATCCACAACCTATCAAATGTTTTCTTGAGAGTCTGTCTGAGCTGAATTGAGAAGGAGATTTTGAAAATCCTTAAGATAACTCCTGTTAGGAGACGGGTGCTGAGGTATCTCTGGGGATCTGATAGTAGTGATACAGATAGACTATTTCCAGGAATGAGAGGTAAGGGATCTGGGCCAGAGGAAGAACACAAGAGGGATGGCAACTAGACCAGCTATGTCTTCTTAGTCACTTTTCCATTGGTGGGACGAAGCACCCCACACCCATTATTTAAAAGAGCAACGGTTTATCTCAGCTCATGGTTTTAAAAAGCTCCAGTTCATGGCCAGTTGGTGGCTGCAAAGCAGAAATGATATGAGACTAGGGCAAGGCAGAGGAAGCATGATCACCTCATGGCTGCCAAGAAGCAGAGAGGGAGAAGAGCAGGGAGCCACAAGCCTATAGCCTTTCCGATCACACCACAGTGACCCAGCTCTTCTGACCAGGCCCGCCTCCAAGCCGCACAGTCAGCTAAGGACTCATCCATGGACTCCTCCGCTGAGAAGAGCGTCCCCACGATCCAGTCACTTCCCCAACCCCCAGCTCTGAAAATGAGTCTTTTGGGGGACATTTTAAATCTCGCTATTAGAAGGTGAAAAAGTAGTGTATTCCCCTTTACATTCTGTCTTCCTTTCCTTTTTTGTTCCCCTTTTGCTTCTTCCTCATTTCACTTGAGTCCTTTGCTTCCCTTTGCCCTTTCTCTTTCCTCTCCTTCTCTCTCTAACACACACTCAGGAGGTTGTGCAGAGGTGCAAACCAGGCTCTGCTCACTGTTGTTCCGAGCAACACCTGTTCTTCCAACTTATGCTTCTCCCCTCCCACCTGCAGGGCTGTTTCTATTGTGGGAAATTCTAGCACCTGCTCCAACCCCAAGGAAGCAGGTAAATCAGGTTGAAGTGGCCCAGTGTGTCAGGAAACAGACTGTGAAAGAGCAGGAAACTGCTGGACCTCAGGCAGAAGTTTCCCATTCTTTCTCTAATCTGTACCCCAACCCAGGGAAAGGAAAGCAAATCTCTCCATGTGGAAGGACAGATGCTTTCATTCCAGCATGAGCAGCATGTGAGTTTCACACTGTCTCAGTGGCCTGTGCCCTCTTGGTCACTTCTAGAATTGATGGTGATGACAGAGATTTTAAACTACAGGGCACAGGGTCATGGCCAATGGATAAAGTGTTCAACAAGGAAAACACTGAGGGGCCCATAATTACGTGGAATCTACAGAAATAGCTTTCATCCCTATGTGAGGGGTGGGAGAAGGACATATAACATCAAAAATAGAACCATGTAGCCTCTCAGTTTTGGATTTTTGTTTTAAAAATGGAGAAGATATAATCCACTTTAAGGAGTTAGAAGTAAATAAAAACAATCCATGTGAAAACACTTAACATAGTGAAAACAATGAATGCAAATTGAATTTGGATGACTTACTACAGAAACAAACACATAAATACTTATATATACGGGCATGCTCACAAACACCCAACTTCTAAGTATGTCCTGAATTTAGTTCACTTCTATTCAACCTCTTCTTTATTGTTTGGAGAAGCAGGCAGAGTAGGTTTCCCCAGAGACACTGACCTGCTTCACCTCAGCTTGAGCTCCAGCAGTCAAAGACTGGGAACCACAACTTAAGTTTTCCACAAGTTCACGTGACAGAGCAACATGGACGATTCTGGCTACTCTGAGTTGAATGAAAAGTTTAAACATGACATCTTGTCTTGTCCCTGAGGAAAGATGTACTTGTTATGGGAAAAGGTAAAGACCACAAAATAACTCAATTTCACATGCAGGTGCACTGCCCACAGAGGGGTAAAAACAAGAAGTCTGGTGGAAAGCATGGTGATATAATAGTGTAAAGTGCATGGGGCCTGAAGTGAGATCTGAGTTCAAATTCTACAAAGCCCAAATGACCATGGTATGCTTCAATTTCCTTATCTGCAGAAAGAAAATAATAATTACCCCATCCATGTCTGTTTTCTAAGTCTCAGGTGAGGACCAAATGAGATAACATATTTGCAATCACTTTGCAGAACATCATGCCACTAGTAGTCTGTGACATTGTAAATGTGGAATGTCGGCAAATTGGAAGTTCGAGTGCCTACAACAGCAGTAAATCCCTTTTATCACACATAAAACATTGAGTGCAAAGCCTCAAACTTCTTGCTCACAGGAAGCAAATCTCCTAAGAGGATGAGACTTTGAAGAATTCCTTCTTATTCACCCTTCTTCTGCAAATCAAGATGAGAAAGAGGGTGAGGGCCTCTTGCTGATACCCTGGCTGGAGGATGCTAGGCTGGGGAGTTGGGTACAACTTTGTTCTTGGTAGGAGTTCGGAGCCTCTGGTGATACCTGTATATTTCAGCCAAAGTGACAGGGACCTTGTTAGCTGTCCTTGTATTGAGGAGCTTGATGAATTGAACTCTTGGGGAAAATGTGATGGCCGTGATCTGTCATAGAGATGATGAATAACATTTTTAAAAAATGATTACCGAAAACTTTACAGCTAGCCAAAGCTGGCTTTCTCAGAGGCCCTGGAGGAGAGCTTTTCTAAAGTGTCATTTAATTAATAAGGAGGTTATTGATTGCTGTCATGCATGGAGTACTGCACAGGGATGGGTAAGAAGAAGTAATGGAGAACCAGAGGCAAAAGAAGAGGGAAGAGCTGGGACCAGGCCCGGACCATAACCTGGATGGACAAAGGCTTCTGAGAACATTCTAGAATGCCAGTTATGACCTAAGCAATTCCCACTCTCCAGAGATGCTTAGAAGTTAAAGAGGGGTTCTTAGTGATAGCCATGTTTAGAAAATTCACTCAGTCATTTTGGAATAAATAGAAGGCTGTGCAGCCTGATGGTCAATCTTCTTGATCAAAGGGTAAGAACAAGCTTCTTGCAGTCTGTGGTTCATGCTCAAGGAAGTCGCTGAACCTGTGAGGCCATAACAAACTAATTCCTAAAATGACACAATTATACTAACTCCAGGATTCCAAGTCAAATATTCTATTTTACTGTGAACTGCTCATAATGGAATGGGATGAGGCAGAAAAAAATCATAATCTGTCCACATCTTTCTCTGGTTCGGCTTCCCAGGAGATGACAAATGGATATTGATATGGATTTCATCCTGACAATTATACACAGACAAGAATGAAATTGTGCTCAAACTAAGCAAACCCTGGGACTCATGTTGTGACATTTGGGGAATCATCTTTTTCTTGAACTGGTGCACAACTTCTGTCATGAGGATCTAATTTGGAGCTCTCAGAAGAAGACCTATAATTTCCCAGACCTGACTAGCATTAGACATTTCCTGAATAAGAAACTTAGGTTATGCCACAGAGTTCTCTTGGCTTTGACCAGGCATTGTACAGAATGATTTCAGAGGGCTTCTATTTTCTTTAGAAGAACCTGACATTTAAGATGAAATATGACTGGATTTCAATTTCAGTTTTGCCTCTTATTAGCTATACAACCATGGAGAAGTTACTTATCTCTGAGCTTAAAATGAATGCTTTTGCATATCCGCATGGATTGTTGGAAGGGTTTGAGAAGATGATATACCTTAGAGTGTGATGTCTGGAACACGTTAGCACTCCAGCATTTGCTTTTTCTTCCCCCTCCCTGCTGCCTTGTTTTGTTTAGAATTGCAGAAAACATTTTATCAATCTGGTGAGCAACACAGAGGCAGAAGAGAGCACAGTACAATGATAGATAGAACCATGCTACTCATCATTTCTCAATCAGTGACACTGATACTGATGGCAACATGGTGAATTTTAATAGATATTAATGTATGGCCCATAACCTGGCTGAGATTTTGAAGACTTGAAATGATCAGCACGTTTCCAAGGGAAAAGCACCTGAAGGTCTTGGGGACCACAAGCTCAGCATGAGTCAACTGTGGATTGAGGCTACTAAAAAAAACAGTGTGACTCTCAGCCATGTGCACAGTGATGAATGGATCCAGTGAGTGCAAGCATATCATTGTTTTTGGTGGATTGTAGCCAATTTAGGATGTCACATTTAAGCAGGACGTCCATAAATTCAAAGCATCCTAAGGGGATAACATTACAGAAAGCACAGGATGTCATAAGCATAGAGAAATAGTTATTGGACACAAAAAAGTGGATCTCGACGTAGTAAAGTAGCCACATCCATTGGAACTTGTTGTGGTTTATATATGAATGTCACCCCTCATATGTTCATAGGCAGGGCTTTCTGGGAGGTGACTGGATCATGGGTGTGTAATATTGATCCACTGATGAATTTATACCTAAATGCGAAGTTGGGAGGTGAAGACTGGTCCAAGGAGGTACGTCACTGGGAGCATTCCTGGGAGGACCTATCTCCCTCTGTACCCCCTTGATCTCTCTCTCTTCTTCCTGCCTGCCATGCCACGAGCTGTTTCTCCTCAGTTATGCCACCTTGCCTTGGAGCCAGCTGACTACGGACTGAAACCTTTATAAACTTGAGCCGGAATAAACCTTTCCTTCTTTAATTTGTGTATGTTGAGTATTGTGTCTCAGAAACAAGAAAAGTGACCAAGACACGACTTCACATGGAGCCTCTCTGTGTAAAGCAGAGGAAATACTTTCGCAGAGAGGCAGAACAACCTCACACCAGTCTTCTTACTCACTTTCTTCCCAACAGCCATATTCCTTTGTTCAGTGAACAATTTAACCAATTATATGTGGCAACCCTGACAATTACAAGCTTCAAATCCTTGAAAGAAAAACTGCTTCATAAAATATGGAGTTTTTCTGTGTATCCATGCAGAATAGATCCTGGGTCTCTAATGGGAAGGAGTAACAGTGAGAGTGCTAGGCTATCAAGATATGAGAGAATTCTCCAGTGATGACAGTCTAAGGCTTGTTGTAACTCTTTTGAAGACCTGAGCAAATCTAGAGTATGCCTCTCTGAAGATCATTTATAAGGCCAAGAAAACAGATTGCTAAAATCCAGCAGTGACTTTATCAGTCCAACTAAAGAGACAGAGGATCTCCAGGCACAGGAGTGACCCATCCAAATCCCAAGATGGTTCTACTGTGGAAAACATGTTATCAATCTGAATTCAGCAGACTCTCCGCACACCTGAAGCCCCAGTAGATTAACTATTCTGAGGCGGGACAAGGGTGGACTGTGTCTGCCTGATGCCATGGAATGCACCTTGCATCTGATTAAATTCTTTGCTCTGGTTCTAACCTTTCATGCCAGCTTTTTGATTTTTTACTTGGTTGAAAATACAGGTCTATTAATAGGGGCAGTTGCTGGAACAATGATATTTCTGGCTGTACATTAATAAAATTTCAGTCTTGTGATTTGGTGTCCCCTAAAACTTGAATATTTATTCTACTATCTCTTAATTATTTGAAATCCCAGCTATCATATTGGTTTAGTGAAATGCAATTTCTTTTCTAATGATGGTTATGTGAACCATATGATGTATTAAAAATGAGACCTCTTTCCAGGCTCACACCTGACTTGCTGCCTCTGTAAGGGAGTGGACAACACTTGCTTTTTCACGGGGTCGAGCATGAGAGCAGCACAGTGCCTGCTGGAAATGTGGCTTCCATCTGAGATGCTCTATTTTCTAAAGAAGGCTGGGCCTTTCCCCTTTCCACAGTTTTGTGGTTAACCTGGAGATCCTAATGAGTCAGTAATGTCATCCCTTATTGGCTGGAGTTAGTCAATCCCCATTTCCTTTGGGTTACCTTTTCATCTCTTTCACTTTCTTTCCTTTTCTCCAGGTTGGCACTTAGTCCTGTGCTCTGGCACTCTCTTCAATCAGTGCTGATTAGGCCAATTGGGAGGTAAAGAAAGTATCCAGCCCTGCAGGCCTCCTGACTGCTGCTTAGAATCTGGCTGTTCCCTTCCATTCTCCAAAGAATCAGGTCTACACAGCAGCCACAGAAAGATGTCTGATTCAACTCCTACGGGAAAAGCAAAGCCTCAGCCAACAAGTGACTTCCAAAGGTAAATTTTAGGAGCTTATGGGTTTCCTGGATAAATCGGCTTCTTCCCATCACTATGTTAGCTTCCCAGCAGCCCTCAGGGCCAAGGAGGAGGAGTTGGGTTTCAAGTAGGAGAAAGACAGTGCAAGCAGACATCTCGAACTGAAGAGGGGCTTATTGCCTCCTATAGATTCAAGATTAGACAGGAAATCCCAGCCGGGTGGCATTTACAAAAGATACGTTCATAAAAAGAATCAGTATCTGTGCTGGGAAGGTGTTAAACTTTACAAGAGAGAAAATATTTACCGCCTAAGCTGGACTATAAAACTGTCCTCTCTGAGACACAGTAGGCTGTGATTATGGGTGTAGACCTTCCTGATGAGGACTAGGGAGGATTCAGATTTCTGTGAGCTGGGAACTCTTGGCTTTGGAGAATCACAGGTCCCTCATGCTGTGCATCCCTGGCTCAGCTCAGGGACAGTTTATGGCTACTGAATGGGAGAAGAGGCTCCCAAATGGGAACATTTCATGTGTGTTCACCAGAAAAGGTAAGATTTCTGGTACATGTCACAGAGGTTCATCCTGGCCACTGCTATGGCGAAATCCCATGAGATGTCCTGCAAAGAGTAGTGCCTAAACTGGGACTTCTAGCTGGTCCTTAGGGGACAGCAGACAAAGGTGCCTTAACCAAGGTACTTGCTATAGTATTTCTCTTGTTTAGAAGACCGTACTTTGGGGAGGAGGCAGATGTAACGAGATAACAACTTAGAAATGAGAGTTTCAAGCCTAATGACCCATTCTCATCTATGCATACTGACAATTCTGATTCTATATATAATGGCTAGGTTCAAGAACCCTTGCTTGCAAACAAAAACATTTGGCAAAATTTTGCCGCCATTCACAAATGCCACATCAAGTGACAAACATGACCACAGCCATCTTTCCCACATAAACACAAACACAGTCACCTTCCCCAAAATTGTAAAACAAATGAAGTTTGTAAACTGAGGTACCATTCCATATGGCCCCTTTACCTGTGTGTGTCTTTGTGCCCTCTCTTCCCCTTACAGGAAGCCAGCCCTTGGCATTTCCTGTCTTCCCTAAATCCAGGGTGACTTCTGCTTGAGAATCTTAGTTAAATATATCTGAAAAAAGCCTGTTTCTAAATAAGGTGATGATATGTAAAACAAATGAAGTTTGTAAACTGAGGTACCATTCCATATGGCCCCTTTACCTGTGTGTGTCTTTGTGCCCTCTCTTCCCCTTACAGGAAGCCAGCCCTTGGCATTTCCTGTCTTCCCTAAATCCAGGGTGACTTCTGCTTGAGAATCTTAGTTAAATATATCTGAAAAAAGCCTGTTTCTAAATAAGGTGATGATATATATGCGTATGTTTGTAAAACAGTAAGTCCTCAGAAAAGTAAGAGAATCCTATGGAAGCCATAGATTGACAAGAAAGTGTGATGTCAGGAAATGTGCCCTAGAACTGGCCTCCCCTGCTGGGCTGTCAGCAGACCCCTGCTGTCCTAGAACCCCTGTTTTAATTAACACTGGAGCCTCAGGGAACAGGAGACAAAGTCTAAGTCCTGGGCATGGTAGGAAGTCAGAGAGGAGATCCTTATAAGTCTAGGATCCCAGAAAAGACCCTCAGAGCCAGCTTCAGTTACCCACAACCATAGTACTGCTGCATCAGAGACACCATAGCTCCTTCATGGTACACACAATAATGTTGTTCACTCTCACACCTGACCCAGCATTCAGCTGTCCTGCTGATGTCGGCTGGGCTCATTCACATGTTTGCAGGTCATCTGGCTGTCTACTGAGGTGGTAGTGGATGGTATGACTGATGGCTTAGCTCAGCTCCATATTTCTGCCTGGGATCAGCTCCACATTTCTGCCTGCATTCCCTCTCTTAGTAATTGCAGAAGGCAGAAGCAACAGGTGCAAGTTCCCCTGCCCCTTCTCAAGGCTTTGCCTATACTGTAGTAAAACTGTTACAAGGCTGGGGTAAGAGTCAGAGAGGGAGGTGGCTGAAAGGTGTGTACAGTCCATGGGCAGTGTAATGGGCTGATCCACTGAGACCTCCAAACAGCCCCTTATTTGGAAATAGAAAAATTTTCAGACATAATTAGTTAAGAATCCCAAGGGGAAATTACCTTGGATTTGGGGAAGAGAATAGACTCCAAGGACTGGTATTCCTGTAAGGTGAGGAGAGAACACAGAAGCACACACAGGAAAGGGGCCATGAGGAGATGGAGGCAGATTGGAGTGACTTAAGCACAAGCCAAGGTATGCTGGATGCCACCGGAAGCTGAAAGAGACAAGAAGCCCCTCCAACCATATGAGCTTCTGCTGTTGCAGTCCTGGAAAACTAACCTAGGAGTCTTGAAGATCTGGGGAATGAACATAGTCATTGACCACCAAAGGGAAAACTTTTAAGGAATAAATCTGCCATACAGAATTAATTCTGGGGATGTGGGACTTGCTTGGCCTTTTGTCTGCATGGAATAATATATATATATATTTTAAAGAGACATTTTAACTGCAAATCCACCTTCCTATGAGTTAAAGACTGAATTCCGTAAAACCTATGAGGCTGTAACCCTTCCCTGACAAACAAAGACTCCATGAATCCCAAACTTGAAGCTTAGGTTTTTAGGTTTTAAGGGGCCATGAGTTATAGAGAAGCAAAGGCAAACTGTCTAAAGAGGAGCACACATTAGACACAGGCCACCAAGAATTCTTACCTGTGTGTTCCAGGGAACATATGCTCCTAACAGAAAATCACTCATGTTGCAAGATAACAAACAAAAGTCAGCAGAAATGTTCAGACTACAGAATCAGACTAGCAAAGTAAATAGTTACACAGATAAGAGACAGAATTATAAAGTTTAACACATGCTATGGGCCGAACTGCATTCAAATGTTGAAGCCCTACCTCTCAATGCTTCAGAGGGTGAGCATATTTCGAGATATGGCCTTTAAAGGGGAGATTAAAGCGGAATGAGGCTGTTAGGGTGAAACCTAATAGAATAAGACTGGTGGCCTTATAGGAAGAGGAAATTTATACACACAGAGAGGCATCAAGAGGCCGCGGGGGAGGACCATACGAGGACACAGCCAAAAGGTGGCCCCTTGTAGGTGAAGGAGAGCCTCTGAAGAAACCAGCCCTGGTGACATGGACATTGGGTTTCCAGACTCCAGAACTGTGAGAAAATAAATATCTGTCACTCTAGCCACCCAGGCTATGACATTTGATTATGGCAGCCTCAGAAAACTAGCCCCTGTGTCCATGGGGAACTGATTTCAGGACCCCTGCAGATACTAAAATCTATGATGCTCAAGTCCTCTGTATAAAATGGTGCAGTATTTGCCCAAAAGCTATGCACATCTCCCTATAGACTTTAAATCATCTCCCCATTACTTATGCCTAAGAAAATGCTATGTAATAGTCAGTGTAATGTATTGTTGAGGGAATAATGACAAGAAAAATATCTGTATATATTCAGTACAGATATATATTTGTGATTATTTCATTTTATTCTTTTAATATGTGTTACAATCATTGTGGGGAGCTGGAGCACATATGTAACATATTTGAATTCTTTTTTCATTCCCTTCTTTTCTCTTCCTGTCCCTTCCCCTAAACCTCTTGATCTCTTTCCCTATTTTCAATCCATATTTGGTTGAATCCACACAGGCAGAACCCCATGTTGGTGTATAAAGAGGGGCAGCTATACAGCTTTAGAAAAAAAAGGGTTATAACTATGGCTTGCCAGCAAGAGAATATCAAAATCAATCAACCAAGTTTAATAGAAGATCCAAAAATTCGGGAAATTCAAAACATCACACTTAGAAACAAAATAAATAACAAGTTATACTCAATCACATAGTTGGAGATGGATCTAAAGAATACAGAGATAGAGACAGAGAAGAGGAAAGTTTTAATGACATGAAGGAGAAAATAAAGCTAACACACATTGATCAGCATCATAGAAGATGAGATAAGAAAAAAAAAATGAGGCAAAGTGGCCCAGCTCTCCTGGTGGTTGCTGGGACAGCCATGACATCAAAGGTGATATTTGATATAAACCTGCATGGAGACAAAGAAAATGGAAGAGAAACTGAAGTACAGGGAAAGCACAGGTGAAATAAGAGGCCCGGCCACGAGACGAGGGGTCTTGCAGTGCACTCCAGTGTGGGCCATGTGACAGCTCTGTGCTCAATGGGGTGCTGGGCTTTGGAGGTGGGTGGATGAAAGGGTTTGTCCACCGCACCTTGAGCTCTACTTTTGCTGGTTGATGTAGGGGAGTCAATGGAAATCTTGAAGACAAAAAGTGATAAATGTAGTCCACCTCACACTTAAAAAGATAAAGCACCTCAATAAACCCTGGTTTGATCAACGGAGACGGCTGACACTGACCCCCTTATCTTTGGAAGGCTGTGGCTGGGATGAGCTTTGGGCTGTGCAGATCCATCTTCTTCTGTAGAGAGAGTTCCAGAGGGATTCTGCTTTTGAGCAGACGGGGGTTCATTCTGGCAAAATGAAAAGCGGTGACCCTGGAGCTGTAAAGAAACTTCCTGTGGCGTCACTCACTATTTCCCAGCTTGCTGCCACCACAGAATCTGGATGAGAGAAGCCCTGTCCTTCCCATCTGCACTGGGTGCTGCTGGGTTTGACTCATCTATACCTCTTCTGGGAAAATATGGCTCTGCTGCCCAGTTCTGGGCTGTGCCCAACCGGAGCTCCCCTCTTCTTACTGGATCTTTTATTGGTGAAGATGAGCAGGCTGGTGAATGGAACCAACCTGTACAGAGCACTTGCCAGAGCCGTCACAGGGATCCTGTGTGAATAGTCCCATCTACTCGCCTAGCTATCTAACAGCTCAGTGCTGTTATGCTCACTTTATGAAAGCAGTCCGACAGTTTGCCTGCATTCCCAGCCCAAGGAAAAGGCCAGCCTGGTTTCAAGTCCAGGTAGGCCAGACAGAAGCTGACTGCTACTCTGGTTCTTCTCTTGATT